TCCTTTACCTTAATGTTATTCACTGGGCTTTAGCTTACTGTTTGTATATATATATATATATATATGTGTGTGTGTGTGTAGGTGAGCATTCTGAAGTTCAAGCCCGAAGGCTTTTGTCTAGATCTGTGATCCGTTGTCAGCCAACCGTTGTACCTCACATGGAGGTTCCCGAAGTGTCCTGTGTTCAAGTTCTGTTGGTTTTATGTATATGTATGACTTGATTTAATTCTGCTGGCTGTACTTAAAATACTGTAATGTGTGTGGGTATAATGCATGGTTGACTTTTGGTTATTGTGTATAAAGTTTTTAAATATTCTGTTTCATACAAATCAGCACAGTTCATTGGACAACTATATTTATGTATTTGCTTCCGCTAGACCCTATTATTTGCTAATCTGTTCAGAGGCCTTCGGTGATCCAAAGATTACTGGCCGGTTACGATGCTAAACCTATAAGGGCGGATTTGGGTCATGACAGGGTCCACGATATATATGTGATTATGAGATCTTGTTAGCCACTTGACAAAGTGGTAATGTGTTTAATTGGTATCCGGAACCGATTACTCTAGTCGAAAGACGATATGTTCTGTTCTGTTGGATATACCATTATTATGTTCAGATATGAGAATAATTGTGATATGATTCATTTTACAGATATGATGTAGTTGGAATTCGCTCACTAACCCATTTACCTTAATGTTATTCGCTAGGTTTTAACTCACCGTGTGTATATATATATATATATAGGTGGGCGACATGAAGATCAAGCTTAGATGAACACCATTAGTCGAGCCATTGCCTGAAGCTTTTGAGATCTTAGTTCCTCCAAGTTAAGGCTAGGTCCAGAGAACAATACCGTTATCTAGTTTTGATCATGGTATTGAGATTTTGTTATATGTATATATGTACATGAATGATGTATTTTTGTATAAGGTATTAAGTATGCAATATAGGGTGGGTAAATTAACGTTATGTGCATGTGTTATTTCATATAGAATTACAGCTCATTGGACCACTTGTTATATATAGTTTTATATTAAGCTTCTGCTAGCCTCGATTATTTTGATTTGTACAAGAAGACCTTTGGTAATCTTGGATTACTGGCCGATTATGACACTAAATCTATAGCGGCGAGTTTAGGTCGTGATAATAATTTTACCCTCTATCTTAACGACTAAGGAAAGTAGAAGACTAGTAAATATCTAGATATTTTTCTCAAGTCTTTTAGGTGGTTCCACACCCAATTTTTCCCAAAATAATATTTATAAATACCTATGTAAATATTCATGTTCAAACAAATAATAAATGAAAGAAAAAATATAAAATGTATGGATTAATTTAGAAATTATGAGACAAAATAAATAAAAACCAAGTGTTAGGGTATTTTCAATTATAAAATGATGTTTTAGGATTTAATTATAATAATATACAGGCAAATTATTCTTTATTGGACCGTTTTGTAAATTTTTACGAAATTAGGGGCTAAAATGCCATTAACCTAAGACATAGGATTTCAAGTGTAATTACTAAAAGTTAAGATCTTTACATAAAATAGTCTTTTGAGCCTTTATCATTTCCCATAACATCCCAAACAAACATAAAACTCAATAAAATAGTCCAATTCAGACATCTAATCTACTAACTAAACAAATATAGAATACAAATCTAATTCAACCAATTAGTTCGTGAATAATGTATCTAGGACCAACAGTTCATTAGATTACAATCTCTCTTTGTCCAATCTGTCTAGTCTGTCTAAACAAACATGCCGGTTGGATTGAGCAGTCCGGGTTTGGGCTCGGGCATTCTGGTCTGTCCACATGCTACATATATTGTACGACACTGGGCTTCTTCACCAGGCTCGGCCCACTTCTTGATTCGAATAAAAAAAGGTCCCTCAAGAGCCGTCAAGCTCAGCTCAGGAAATTAGGGTTTCAATTCAATCCCATCATTGTATATAAGCCCCCCTCACCCACCCTTCATCCTTGTACCGCATAGCATTGTATTGCCAAAGGGGTCTGCGTTAGGGTTTAGTCTGCGATTTCACTTCCAGAAAGTTCGAAGATTAGCTTTTCAAATTTGTTTTTCTTGTTGTTCTCTCTCTCTCTCTCTCTCTCTCTCTCCCTATGAGGAAGAATTCCCATTGATAGGAAGTGCCGTATGACACTCCAAACCACGGCGGTTTAGCGGTGACCGTACTTCCATCCACCAATCGTCGTCCCTCTGATTGCATCTCAATCTCAGGGTCCGTTGGTCGGGATTTACGTGCCTTCGTTGTTCCGCCGTGTGTGTGTGATTTGAAAAGGGACTCTGAGGGCTAAACATTAGATCTATATATATGTGTGTGTGTGTGTGTGTGTATTAGGGCTAAACTATATGTGTATATTTTGTTTGAATTGTGGAGGTCCGATGCCACGTCGACGGTAGCCAACGAGCATTGACCGGCGATGCTATGATTGGACCAAAATCAAAAAAACTATTTTTGTTTCGCATTTAGATAGGAATCTGTGGATCGATTCAATGCTGTTCGTCCATGGTGCCGGTTTGTGCGATTACAGTTTCTATATTCTTTTATTTAATTTTTGATGAGGCCAATGAGGATTATTATCTTTTTAAGTTGGAATTACCGACTGAATCACCGTGATGACACAGATCGACTATCTGAGGCCTCGATCATATAAATATGTGTTATGTATAACATTAATTTTCTGATAATTGAAAATATAGTATTTTATTTGTAAAAAGCTAGTTTTTTTTTCTTTTTTCTTTTTTTAAATGAAAAATTATAATTGTTGTTAATCATCAAATTTATGTATTGAGGGTTGCATTTTTTTTTTATAACAAATTGAGTAAAAGTTTTTTTTAATATCAACTGCTTCACAACGAATTTTAAGGTTTTATCAAATTATCGGTCCATCATTGGTTACGATCGGGTGGTCTGAGTGTAAATTTTTCACAATTTTCGGTTGGTTGAGGGTAAATTTTTATAATTTTTTGTTTTGAGAAATTTTCGGTGGGAAAAATTTAAAGGTAATGAACAATGATTTCATTATATTTATTTTTAATTTGATGAAACGTTGAAAGTAAGCTTTTTTAATAAATTTAAATTTAATAATGGATGTGATGGAATTTTTAAAATGCTCTCACCACAATTGGTGAGAAAGTGGATTGATTGAAGTTTGTTTAACAAATTTTGGACCCAGAAATGGTGGATGAATGAACAAAATAAGAGTTTCGAGAATTTAAAAAGCTTGGGCTGATGAATAGCTTTTAATACAGAAAAAAATGGAAAATGAAGGAAGTGATTTGAATCATGTGATAAGAATTTTGGTCTGTTTTTAAAATTTAGTGGGAGATTTTGAAAGACAAGTTTAAAATAAAATTAGCTAATCTTTCTTTTAAAAAATAAAAAAATAAAAAAAAAAAGAGAAAGGACGAGACTGCTTTTTTATTCCCACCATTCCTAATATATTCTGATTGGCTAAATTTTTTATTTTTTATTTTTTTCCTTTCTATTACTTATTGATATGTGTTTAGAGAGGGTTGTAAGCTCGTTTGTTTTCAGAGATAGAATGAAAGAAATTAATAGTTAGAGGATTGTTATTGAAGGGATTGATAGTCAGGGGATTAAGTAAAATTGTGTTTTTGTGTTTTGTTTTGATAATAGTTGTTAGTGTAGAGATTGTCAAATTATTTTTATATAAAATAAATATAAAAAATAAAAAAATATAAAAAAATTAAACATTAATGTTTTAATAAAAATATTCAACATGTAAAAAATTTAAAAAGAATAAAAATAAAATAAAAAATTTTTAGAATAAAATAAAACAAATAAAATAATGATTTTTACTTAATAAAAAATATAAAAAATTAAACATTAATGTTAAAAAACAATGTCCGACATGTAAAAAATAAATAAAAATAAAAAATTTCTAATCTGTCTGATTATTTTTTTAATACCAAGTCTTATAGGTTTATCTTAATCTCCTCTCCAAGGGAATTCGTAGTTTAAAACAAACATAATATTAGTGGATTTTATATCACTATAAATCTTAATCTCCTCTCTATAACTCAAAACAAACGGGCCGTAGAGGATTGTGGGGGTTAGGGAAAAAGAGGGGTTATGGGAGGATTACGGTTAAGGAAAAGAGCATTGATAGAGACCTCTTCCAATCACCACTCCCACACACACGTGGCGGGTGGTGATTGGAGGAGAAGGAAAAGAAAAAAAAATAGAAAAGAAAAACTGATCAATTGGAAGGAAAGGGGGTCAAAAGGGATGGGAAAAAAAGGGAGTCTCAAACATTTTTATAAGGAAAAAGAGGGGTTGTGGGAGGATTGTGGGGGTTAAGGAAAAAGAGGGAATATCACATTTTTTCTTGATCTCCACAATCTTTATAGACATATGTCAACAAATGATAGGAAGAAAAAAAAAATGAAAAACAAAAAGTTAGCCAATTTCAATACATTAGGATGATGGAGTTCGAGGAAAAAGAGAGTCTCAATCTTTTTCCAAATTAGAAAGTTAAGAAAGAAAAAATATACAGGGTATGTTTGGTTTGTATTTGTAGAGTGATTTTGGAAAAAATTTTCTAAAAAATTTGTTTGGTTTGTAAATTTTTCAAACTAATTTATAAAATCACTTTCTGTCTCTTATCTTTCAATCAATTACTTTTTCTCTCTCTTTTTTGTCCTTCTCAATCACTTTTTCTCTTACACACTTTTACTCAATTATAACAAATATCAAATCATTCTAAACTCCTAAACTCCAAAATTACTTTCAAAATACACAACCTAACAAATCTAAAAAATTTCTAAACTCTCTCCCTAAAATAATTTTTAAAAACCACTCACCCAAAACCAAATTAAACATGCCCACAATTTTTCTTATTTAATATGAAATTCTTAACCATTTTATATTGGTTAATAAAAAATTATTAAGTCTTTTCATTTTTGATCAAGTTATCGCACTGGTTGGTTCAAACCTTCGTTAGTGACCATTTTTTCATGAATACTATTTACATATTTACTCAATTTAATGATCAACTTTAATAATTTATATAATTATAAATTTTTAAGGGTTAATTTTATTTTGAACTCATATTTTGACTTAAATTTTAGTTGAACAATTTCAATTTCAACTTATTTTTTTGTTAATTTTTAAGATATTGTTAAAGTAGTATCCTAATCATAAAATCATTAATGTTGCTAACTAACTTAATGAAAGGATGCAATTGACTTTAATTTTATAAAGTAAAATTTATATTAAATTGTTAAAAACGTAAAATTTGAATCAAATTGTAAGAGTAAAAAGTGGAATTATATAAATCAATTCCCATAATATATGATAGAATGGATGTGAATTACAACCAGAGGCTTCTATTGAAGCTTGAATAATCAGCTTAGGGTATGATAAGATATCACCCCTTATTTATAAATGAAGATTAGGGTTTACAAACAAGACAATTACAAGATGATCCCTGAGGGCATAACAATGATTACAGACCCTAGTGCCTTTCGGCTAATAAAATACTAAGAGACTTTTGGTGATTATAATATGCCAACACTCCCCCTCAAGCTGGTGCGAAGATATCTCTCATGCCCAGCTTGCTTAATATGTCATGAAACGGTTTATTTCCAATTCCCTTGGTGAGAATGTCAGCAAGTTGTTCACCAAACTGAACAAAAGGAGTACAAATGGTACCACTAATGAGTTTCTCCTTAATGAAGTGGCGATCAATCTCAACATGTTTTGTCCTGTCATGTTGAACTGGATTGTGAGCAATGTTGATGGCGGCCTTATTATCATAATATAACCGCATGGAGTCCGTCTGAGCAATACCTAGATCACTCAACAATAATTTGATCCATAGAAGTTCACACACACCTTGTGCCATAGCTCTAAACTCAGCTTCTGCACTTGACCTGGCAACCACATTTTGTTTCTTACTCCTCCAAGTAACTAGGTTGCAGCCGACAAATGTGCAATACCCTGAAGTTGATCTCCTATCAGTTATTGACCCAGCCCAGTCAGCATCTGTATAGGCTTCTACACGAAGATGATCATACTTTGAAAAATACAGACCCTTACCAGGAGCAGACTTCAAATACCTCAAGATTCTCATGACAGCCTCAAAATGAATCTGATGAGGAGCATGCATAAACTGACTAACTACACTGACAGCAACAGCAATATCAGGACGGGAGTGAGATAGGTAAATGAGCTTACCCACTAATCGTTGATAGCTCCCCCTATCCACAACTTCTCCTCCTTCATCATCTCCCAATTTTTGATTGGGTTCCAGTGGGGTGGCACATGCCCTGCAGTCAAGCATCCCAGTTTCCTTCAACAGGTCAAGCACATATTTTCTCTGTGAGATAAATATCCCATCCTTAGAGCGAGCAACTTCAATTCCCAGAAAATATTTCAAGCGTCCCAAGTCTTTGATTTCAAACTCTTTGGCTAAGTATTTCTTCAACAGAGGTATTTCCCCACTATCATTGCCTGTAAGAACTATGTCATCTACATAAACAATAAGTGTTGTAGTCTTACCGCATGAGGAATGTTTCACAAACAATGTGTGATCTGTCTGACTTTGTTTGAAACCATATTTAAACATCGCCTGAGTGAATCTTTCAAACCAAGCCCTTGGAGACTGTTTGAGACCATATAATGACTTCCGAAGTTTGCATACTTTCCCTTCTGTTTGATGATCCTCAAAACCCAGAGGAATGTCCATATATACTTCTTCTTCGAGGTCACTGGCTCTGCTCCAACGCATGTATAAGGATGCGCGAGCAGAGATAAGTGTGCTAAAGGCGGAAAATAAGGAGCTGAAGCGGAAGGCCACCGTGATGTTCCGTTTTGGAGGTCCGCCATATGCTGCAGTGGAGGAGCAGGGAGTAGTGATCATGCCCAGTGGAGTGGGAAATACGGAGGCAACACCGGCAAGGGCCGCCCAGGACGGAGGCAAGAAGAAAAGACCGGCGGAATAGGCGAAGAAGTGAGGTCGGTTGGTGGCCGGCTGCAGAAAAGAAAACAAATTGTTTTTTGTTTTTTTTTTTTTTTTTTTTTTTTTTTGGTTGATGTAAAATGGTGATCGGGGTGAGCCCCTGATATGAATAAAATATGAGTGTTGGGCAAATGAGGAAATTGTTTGTTTGATTGTATGTTTGATTGGACGTGTGCCCCTCTTTACAAAACAAAAACAATAAAATAAAAGAAAATAATAAAAAAAAGAGATATATATATATATATATAGATGGGGTAGGGGAAAAGATGGGTTTTAAAAAATAGTGGGTATGGGAAAGATGTGGTGGAAGTGATGATTATGTTTGTTTGTTTTTTGTTTTTTTTTTGTTTTTTTTTAAAATTTGGTTCTGTCAGTGAGCACATGGAGTTAGAAGAATGGGTGGATAATAAAAAAGAAAAAGAAAGGGAGCATGGTGGGTATGTGAAGGAGATAAAAAAATAAAAGTGGGAAATCACGTGGGTAGGAGAGAGGTGTGTGTTAGCTGGAATTGTAAGACCACTTTGATTAAAAAAACAAAAACAAATAATAACTTGTAAGTAGAGTTTATCAATGCTGAGGGATTGATTAAAAAAAAAAAAGCAAAGTGGTCTAACAACTTGAAAGAGAGAGAGAGAGGAGAGTGTATGTGACATTCCACCTAGGGGTCTTTCATGGCATCTACCTTTATCGGGAATTCAACCTCCATTCAGGAAATGTTCAGGAGAGTGAGTGAGCAGTTCACTGCTATGTTCAGGAGGAAGGCTTTCTTGCATTGGTATACAGGGAAAGGAATGGATGAAATGGAGTTCACGGAGGCTGAGAGCAACATGAATGATCTTGTGTCTGAGTACCAGCAGTACCAGGATGCTACTGTTGATGAGGAGGGTGAATATGAGGATGAGGAGGAAAGAGGAAGACACTGTTGCAGTGCTTTATACCCCTGTTCCTGGGGCAACTCCAGTTCCATTCTTTTTCTCAGATAGAGAAACAGATAAATTGAAGAGGTATGATTTGGAGGATTTGAGAAAGACCCTAAATCAATTTTATGCGCTGGAGAGGAGTGAGACTGAAACCAGCAGAGCGGACACCACAGGAGGAGAAGATGGTGGCTCGATGTCGCCATTGATGAACAAATATGTGTGAGGCAGAGAAGAGTTCAGCTATGACTTTCTGGCAGCGGAGTGAAGGTACGTGTAGAGGTCCGGCGGGCGGTCAAGACGAGGTTGCCGCCCGCCGGTGAAGCAAATTATTAGATTCTAAACCTGCTCTGATACCATGTAAAAAAGACAATGCATAAAAAGGAAAAGAAAGTATTTAACAAAGTTGGAATTGAATATAAATGGAAAACTCAAAAGAGCAGCTTGGCCCAATGATAAGACTTGTTAGCATCCTAGTGACACGGGTTTGATTTATGACAATAGTCTCTAAAAATTTGGGTAAAAGTTGTACTTCTTGCCCTCCTCAGACCTTGCTAAGGTTGAGTTTCTTCTTTCGACTAGTTTTTTATTTATTTATTTTTTTTTGACAATTGGTAGGAGATAAATTACAAATATGAGAATAATTACAACAAACTGGACAATTATAGTTTAACAATGCATATCCGGAAGCCTAAAAACCACCAAGCCCGACAATCACCACAAAGAATAGCCCATGGGTATAAATAAACTCAATACAACCCTCATAATGAGGGAGCAATAATCAACCTTTGCCTTCGGCAAGAATTGACCCTTGAACTCCTAGACAGGAGTGTACAAGAGAGGCTAACTGAACTAGTTCAAATGGTTTTTTCAGCTATTTAGTTTTCTTAAAATATTGCAACTTGTGAATGTCTATTTTCCTAGTTTGTTTTTCTTATTCTATTTGATTTAATAAGGTTTATTATCTATTTATTTGGACCACGTAAAATTGGTATTTAGGAAACAAACCTAATTTTTTTTATAATAAAATAAGTCATACAATACAAAACAAAACTTACATATTGGATCTAGTGCGATTGGGATTCCACAATCCTTTACGTTGTGTTTGGTTCATGGATTTGGGAAGGGATTTAGAAAGATGTGGGTGAGAGGTGTGGTTAGAGGTAGTCTGGGAAGATGGCGGGCACTTCAATGGCCTGAGATCACCGGAGGTGGAGAGGAGGAGGTCAAAGCAAGCTTGGAGAGGGAGGGGTTGGCAGTGATAAACCTTGAACATTAATGTAGAGTGTGAGAGGGGGTGTTTAAGCGTGAGACTTAGTTGTATTGTTGTTGTGTCTTGTTGCATATACAATACGTTACATAGGCCACAGGAGTATTGGAGCCCAAGCAAACTGTTGGATAGGTAGCTCATTCTCCTTAACTCTGCCAGAAGTGATATAAGCCCTTCTGCCGTCTGTAGCTTGATGGCAGGCGAAGAGCAACGTTTCATGACAGGCAGAAAGTAACGTTTTGTATATGCATCGGATTACATGAACGTAAGGTCATTGTTGCCTCTTCTTCAAGCCTGGTTGAGATGGAGTTGTCTTAGCAAGAAGACAACCATCTCGACGATCCCATGACTTCAGCCGCCAGTCCAGTATCCTCTGATGAGCCCGAGCAGTAGTGCATGGGTCCTGCTCCTAACTCAGGCATCCAAGTAGATGGATGGGCCAAGGCCCACCTCAGTGTTCAGGAGAGCGAGGGGCTCGCTTCCAAGCGACCAAGTAGGAGAATGGGCCATGGGCGTATCTCAATGTTTCCAAGTGACCAATTAAGAGAATGGACCAAAAGCTTATCTCAATACTTAGGAGAAGGGCTCGCTTCCAAGTGAGTAAGTAGGAGAATGGGCTGCGGGCCTATCTCAATGTTTAGGAGAGCCAGTGTTTATCAGTCCAGTCCAAGTTTAGTGAACTGAGGACTGATTATATTGTTGTTTGGTCTTGGAGCGAGGTATGGGCCATGGTGCTACCTGTTGCAGGGCTTTTCATATTTAGATATATTTAGGCTTATATGTATGCTCCCTCTTAGGCTAAGCATATAGTTTTGGTTTTGGGTGGTGCCTTGTGTCACGCCCCGAGAATTTCTGTGGCACAAAGAGCAGCGTTTAAGTGTGCCGAAGGCGCTAGAAGGTTCCGGAAGGTGTGAGAACGGGCTAGTATGTTGGAAGGCTCTAGAACCTGGTGGAAGGGTCCGGAGTGCCCTAAAAGATTCCAGAATATGGTGAAAGAACCTTGGAGGGTCCAGAAGAGTCTGGATGGGTCTGGAACATCCTAGAATATCATGGAGAAGCCTACCATGTACTACACTAAAATAGAGAATTCTAGAAGGTAGTAAAAGGGTAGTTGTCCTAGATATTTCTATGGAGGGTTCTAGAGGAGGGCTCTAGAGGAGGGCTTGTAGAGGAGGGCTCTAGAGGAGGGCTTGTAGCCCTTGGATCAAAATGATACTAGCCATCCATCGAGGAGGTGGATGGCTATATAAGGGGAGGAGTCTCATTGGTAGGAGATCCAAGAGAGGAGATCCAAGAGAGCTGTAAGAGTAAAGCACTTGTGAGAGTGAGAGCCTTGTAAAGCTTTGTACACAACTATACTTATATAGTGAATACATTCTTCCACCTAAACTTTGTGTTTTAGTTAGTGTGGTCGAATGGGGAAGGCTAACTTAGGTGCAACCAAGTGGGTTGATAAGCATCTAAGGCCGCACGGTTGGCTTGGATAATCCAAGGCCGTGACACTTGGCACATGGGAAATTTTCAAACGAACAATTTCAACGAAATCTTTCAATTTCTTATTTTACGCCCATAGGGCTCGCCATGTATCAAACATATGACATGCCCATGAAATGCCCTATTGGTCTGCCACGTGGGTGGAGTTTTGGTGATATGGCACCCGTAAGACTTGCTACGTATTGGGCTTGATATAACTACACACAAAAGACAAAAAGAAAATGTAGGTGAAATGTGAATGGAATATAATTACATTTCATACACCTTTTTCCTTTCCATTTCCCTTTCCAAATCCCAACCCAAATCTATGAACCAAACACAGGCTTAAGATCGAACTATCAAGATCAAAAGGTCCTACGTATAAGGAATTTTCTACATGATTTGGATCAATTATGCCCAAATGGATTATCTTAATCGGTATTTTGATAACCATGTCGTTTAAGTAATAAATAAATAAATCCAAAACACAATGGACTTGATTTCTACCGATCAAACCATCAATTTTTGATACTCAAAAGACAAAGGCTTATGCATTTCAATATATGGATATGGGCTGTGATAATTGAAACTCTTAACACCTGAATTCAGTGTTTTCATAATTTGCATGTACCAACCTAAGGTGGAGAAGAATATCATGAAGCCAGCAGAAATTTGAACGACCCTGCGACTTCCAACTCGGGTGAGTCCAAGGAGTCCCACATTTTCCCTGGAAACATAGCCCAGTTATCTGTCAAAAGTTTGTATCTTTTACCGAAAGAAACGTGACAGAACATTATACTTGCAATCATAATTTACTTACACTGATATGGTAGAACCAGTGCATGTTCCATACAGACCATCAAGCAAAACACCAATACCCTGCAAAGTGATAATGGAAGGTTTTTTAAATATACACCAATTGGTACATAAACACGGTGATTATTAGCTGCATAAAAGAAACAACATTGGTTAGTGGCAATTATCGACAAAACAAGAGTAGTTGTGTAAGCACGCATTAAGTAGAGAGTCACAATTCATAGGAATGAAATCTGAGAACATTTTTGCTGTTATGCGAAAGGTGCATAAGATGTCCTCTTACTGTATTTGAGCTGAAAAATAGATATACTCAAAGATAATATTGTGAATTTGAGACTACCAATGAATTACACATCAAAATAGAATACTGTTCAAACATGATATTACTAGGGGTACCACACACAAAAAAAAATAATAATTATATTTCAATTTGGTCATATTTTCCAGGATGTTTATGAGATTCTTGACAAGAAAATGTGTCAAATGAGCTCACCTGCCAGCCAATTCCCCGGCTCAAAACATAGGCGGGAGGTGGAGTGGCAATTGCCAGCCGAGATGCTGCCATGTATGCGCCAGTGGACTGCATCATAAAAATATAAGGAGAATATGAACTTTTGGCCAGTCAGATACTATATCCAAAAGTCATAAATATGTTATAAAGAAATAGAATGTCATAGATACTTCCACTAGTAAGGCGGCTTATCACCTGAGAATTTCCATCAAGTTGATCTAATGTAGCCAACAATGAAGTCATTTATTTGCAGTTAGCTCTAAGAATAGAATATTTGTTTCATAAAAGAAAAACTGACAATTAGTAGCATACATAAAGGCCAAATAGAGTAAAGTATGAGAAATAAATGTTTATGGTTATTACCACCAGAAGTTCATGGAATCCAGTTATTGTCCCATGGCCACTTATTTTTGAATTAATTTTTTAATCGACCCTAAGTATGCTGGTGATTGAAAAAGGAACTTTTTGATGTTGTGGATGGTTTATGGCGAGCTGGCTGAGGGATGCTCTCTGGGAAGATGCTAAGCACTGAGTTGGCTAGAGTCTAGAGATCACCGAGGTGGAGAAAGAGAGACCAAGGCAGCCTTGATGTGAACCAAATGGTTTAGATTAAAAAAGGTTCTAAACCAAAAGAAAGAGAAGTATATGTACCTAGGGCATTAAGAATTCAATTTCAAGTACAATTTTGGTACTTGCTTTGATGCATGAACAATGGACATCATATTCTTGTTATAAATCAATTCAATGGACCAGTTGCTGTGTGGTATCAAGTTGTCTGGTTTAGTTCCCAGGCCACAGAACAATTTTGAATGTATTACTTCTATATTAGACAAGTTAGGATTTTGGCAGTGGCGGCTCCAACAATTTTTGAAAAGGCAGACATTTTTTTGTCAATCAATAGAAGGTAAATTACAGATATTATGAGAATTACATCAAAATGAACATTCAATTATGAAATTCAACACACAACCACAAATATATGACAAACCCAACAAAACAGAAGGCAGACAAGGGATGCGTAGGTAGACAAAATCGAATATCAAACCTCCTAGTGAGATGCATGGACTCTTGGTAAAAGGGCTAACTTTGTAGACATTCAAAAATATTTTAAAATAAAATGTTAGGTTTGGAAGTTGGTAAGAAAGCAAAACTTCATTTTGGCTAAAGATAGTTGTTCAAAATTTTGATGAATTTGCTCAAACCAACAACTCAGGGTGTTCAATTTTTATTTTTATTTTTTCAAGGGTTCATAGGGTATACAATTTTTTTTTTTACAAAAGTGACAAATGATCCAAAATATAACTTTGTAGACATTCAAAAATATTTTTAAATAAAATGCTAGGTTTGGAAGTTGGTAAGAAAGCAAAACTTCTTTTGGCTAAAGATAGTTGTTCAAAATTTTGATGAATGTGCTCAAATCAACACTTCATGGTGTTCAATTTTTATTTTTATTTTTTCAAGGGTTCATAGGGTATACAATTTTTTTTACAAAAGTGACAAATGTATCCAAAATATATACTATTACTAGTATTATTTCTTTATTAGATTATTCAAATGAATACCATCATGGCATAGTGACACCACCCCTGATTGGTGCTTAGGAAGGAGGCTCCAAACTTGAACTACAATATATGAACCCATTGTGAGGTAACAATATTGTGTAGAATCAAGTGCTCAAAGATTTAAAAGTGTGCAACTTAAGGAATCTAATTAATACCTCAACCATTGACACGAGAACCGCTGACATCATGGCAAAGGAATGTCCCGCTGAAAAAGTAGGTGGGCCCCACTGCAGAGGGTACGGGAACATGAACCTGAATTAGCATGTCAAATGTATTATTAGAACCAGCAGAAACACGTCATAAATAAAAGAGAATAAAAATTACCCACAGACCATGGGGCAGTCGTTATGAGATAAGCTTTGTCTGTACGGCAACTGACTTGAGTCATTGGAGGTTTGTTGCGGTAGGCCCCACACGCAGTCAGTATAACCGCATAGATCCAGATGATTGTAATACAAATCAAGATAGGAAACCGTTCAAAAATGGGTAAATCCCTCAGTGGTCTCACATGCTTCAAATACTGCAATTACATCTCTTATTTATGTTAAAGGAAAGATTTAATTATAATGAAAGAGGCTGAAGACTAACTGTAAAATTTTATAAAAGCACTTACCTGTGACAATCCAATGACCAACAATAGCATTGGTATCCCGATTTCTACACAATTACCTAGCTGAAGTTCAGAAATTGCAACAAATAAATTTGCAGAAATCATTATAGAAAGGCTTGTGATGCAAATTAAGACAATAGAAAGCATACTATATACTTAATTCCAACATAACTTCATTGGCTAATGAACGCTTATTAGCATGTAAAAATACCTACCGCAGGAAATCCTCGTTGAAACAACCCAAAACCAACCAATCCAACCACAGGTGCCATACCAAGAGGACTGAAAAAACTGTAAAGAAAACCGCCAATAGCAATAAACACTGTCATTCTGAACACAGTTGTATTATACCATCAAATTCTAGATGCTATAACCATACCGTGAAAAGAGACCCCAAACTTGGCTGTAACCTAGGATGATTTGTATGCTTGCTGCTACAATTAAAGCCCCTTGGATAGCTCGCATTGTTTGTGTAAATCTCTGCAAACCAAATTAGATGTGAAGACCTCTTTCAATACCCCCTTAACAAATGTTATTTTGTACAATTTCTGCAAAGAGAATGGAAAAACCTAGAAATCTGTAATTGAAAGTCAGCTTGATGCTGACCATGGATTGTAACCTCACGATCATTACTTGTAAAAGCGTTTCAGATCAATAATGTGAGGGACACTAACAAACATACCAAGTAGACACAATATTAGGTGGGCTCTACATCAAGTGGTGGAACCCACATACAAGGCTTCTATTTTAGTTGATATGTTTGTTGGTGCATTTGTTAGTGTTTCTAGCATTACTGGTATCAGATACCATATGGAGATGGAGTCATTGAATTTTGTCTTTCATAGTTTTACAGATAAGTCCACTGGTATATCGTATAATCTCAAAGACCATCATTTGTATTCATAAACACTTTGCAAAAGAAATCATCTTGACATATTAATAGATAATCTCATGTTACTCTTCTTACCCTCATTTTTTATGAATTAAACAAGTTTGCAACAGAATAGAATTTAAATTATTTATGACCAAGTAGATCTCAATCACTAAAAAATAAATAAAAAATGAAAAGGGGAAGGGGAAGAGGTGCAGCAAGATGGAAACTTACAGCATGGGGTTCACTAATTTGTTGCAGGGATGAGTCATTTATTATGTAAAGTATAGAAATGGCATAAGCATAGGAACCTCCAACAACAGCTGGCAGCCTGGTTCCAAAAAGCGCTTGGAGAAGTGTGTTAATGCCAGCTACAAATAGAAGAGTTTGTATCACCCGTGCCTTATCACCCTGGTATAAGAGAAACAAAACAGTCAAAATAAATTTGAAAAGACAAAGATAGGGTTGAATTATGTGAGGAGGTCCACTTTAGACCTACCATAGTAACAAATCCCACAAACAAGATCTAGGCCAAAATTTTCCTTATATACAATTACCACAAAAATCCCATGTTCTTTGATCTGGAGAGTGTGATAGCAAATGACTGGTCAAGGGAATAACATACATCTGAAATGGCAGCATCTAGACCAAGGATGTCACCTAGGTGGGATCCTACTATGAATAGGTTAAAATTTATTGCATATCTTAAGAAGATGGTTCGTGAAGAAGTCCATAAAATGAAAATCAAGACTTCCTGTAATCACATAATGACAGTTGAACAAAGAGAGACGAAAACTAAACAAAAACAGCTTACATTAGTTCCACCCATTAATGGGACAAGAAATGCAGGGATCATTACAGTTGTGCCCAGCATCAATATGTAGTTCTGAAATGCTAACAGAACAGTTTCAGCTGCAACATAAAACATAAATGAACATGTGAAAAGAAAAAGAATTCAGTATGAAGGCAAACAGTCTCTGATGCCTAATGAGAAAATGATCAAGGTTTCTTATTTCAAATTCAACATCAATGTTTGTATTAGTCCCAAAATTGGTGAATTCTTAAATTTTTTATAAATAAAGGAAGAAGAATAAGAAGAAGATAGTATAGTAAGACTTCCAGTTCATGGAAAAATGGAAATCTTAACTTATACTCAATATACAGAGGTACAAATATATAAACATATAGATAGCAAAACCCCAAGGTATATTTCTTCATCGACCAAAATCTAGTCACTTAAAACAACATAAGTGAGCATACCACTTCATTGCTCAATATGCTTCTATTTGGAAGATCTACTTTCACTATCTATTCCAATGATCCAATCGACACTTTTTGTATCTCTTTGCAAGGCATATATATGTATCTTACGCTTTATACAGAGGATGACAAAACCGTATGTAGTTGCATTTAAGTTCACCACCCCTAACTAAAGAAGCAAACAGTTAACTGATGAAAATAACATCCTTTTTGTGTGCCCTAAGTGGAATTCTAGCTGGCCAATTATGGCAGCCAAATTATGTCACCAAACAATCAATATCACATCATCCCTAATTGTTTTTCTTCTTTTTGAAAACAATGCAAGTAGTCCTAACCCTCTTAGTCTATATGCCAAGTTTTGAACTCGCCTTTCTCAACTGATATTTCCCATGGTTCACTGAATAACCATTAGATGAATAGCTCATTGATCATCCCAAAGGTTAAGACCATGAATCCTGCTTTGACTTTGGCACCATCAAGAGTCATGTCTTTGATTCAACTGTAAAATCCATGTCTTCAACCATGATGCATTGCATTTTAATCTACATTTTTCGCATTTGAGTTCATTCAGATGACGGCCTATCTCAGAGCTTCTAGTTGTTGATGCCACTGTTTTCATTGAACATGTTTTGATCATATCAATCAAGACACCATTAATATAATCTCAACACGGGTCACTAAAGTTCTCCACACTTTAGATTGTCAATAATTAGATTATCCAAGGTGATTCTCCTCATCTCTCCTTAATTGAAACTTCTAGTGTTAACCATATCTAGCTGGCTCAGAAGCTGACCCAAAATCAAAGTGATCAAGCCAGAGCAAATGTGCATGCCAAAAGTATTTGGGATGAGCGCACCCCAGCAACTTGGACAGGTGATACTTTGTTATACTGACCAGTCAACAGCATTGGGGTACCCTTTCTAGACACAGAACGAGATTCTGTTTATGAGATTTTCTCACTAGATTGTGCCTTCCCTGAGGAAGCAGACACACCAGGTTCAGTGGGTTCAAGCCCTACTTTCACTCCTGTAAGTAGAAATCTCCGATGACCAGACACAAAGGTATTTGCTGTGTGTATGGCAACATCACATTTCCGACACAGTAAAGCTCTATCCTTGAGACAAAAGAAATAGCCAACTGTCTCCTGACAGATGTCACATTTGGGCATGGGAGAGGAAGAAGCAGAGAGAGAAACCCTGGTTCAGATGAGATCTATCAATAGTGGTGAGAGAGAGGTATGTGTTGGAGGTTTCAATTGGTTGAGGTCTGGCGGGCGGTTAAGGCAAAGTTGCCGCCCGCCAGAAGGCGAAGAGCACCAAGAGCTTAACCTATAGCTCTGATACCATGTAGAAATTTAATGTATAAAGAGAAATAGAGAATTGTATTATTGATTGATTGTTTTATTGAATGTTACAATGATTCCTATATATAGAAGAGTAGGTGGTAGATGGAGTAGGTAAAGTGGAGGTGGTAGGTGGAGTAGGTGAAGTGGAGGTGGCAGTGGTGTAGTGGGTTAGGTTTAGTGGAGTAGGTGAGGTGGTAGTGGTGTAGTGGGTTAGGTTTAGTGGGTGAAGTAGGTGATAGGTTTTAACACATAGTAACAAATCCCACAAACAAGATCTAGGCCAAAATTTGCCTTATATACAATGACCACAAAAATCCCATGTTCTTTGATCTGGAGAGTGAGATAGCAAATGACTGGTCAAGGGAATAACATACATCTGAAATGGCAGCATCTAGACCAAGGATGTCACCTAGGTGGGATCCTACTACGAATAGGTTAAAATTTATTGCATATCTTAAGAAGATGGTTCGTGAAGAAGTCCATAAAATGAAAATCAAGACTTCGTATAATCACATAATGACAGTTGAACAAAGAGAGAACGAAAACTAAACAAAAACAGCTTACATTAGTTCCACCCATTAATGGGACAAGAAATGCAGGGATCATTACAGTTGTGCCCAGCATCAATATGTAGTTCTGAAATGCTAACAGAACAGTTTCAGCTGCAACATAAAACATAAATGAACATGTGAAAAGAAAAAGAATTCAGTATGAAGGCAAACAGTCTCTGATGCCTAATGAGAAAATGATCAAGGTTTCTTATTTCAAATTCAACATCAATGTTTGTATTAGTCCCAAAATTGGTGAATTCTGTTGAGCTTCTAACAATTAAATTTTTTATAAATAAAGGAAGAAGAATAAGAAGAAGATAGTATAGTAAGACTTCCAGTTCATGGAAAAATGGAAATCTTAACTTATACTCAATATACAGAGGTACAAATATATAAACATATAGATAGCAAAACCCCAAGGTATATTTCTTCATCGACCAAAATCTAGTCACTTAAAACAACATAAGTGAGCATACCACTTCATTGCTCAATATGCTTCTATTTGGAAGATCTACTTTCACTATCTATTCCAATGATCCAATCGACACTTTTTGTATCTCTTTGCAAGGTATATATATGTATCTTACGCTTTATACAGAGGATGACAAAACCGTATGTAGTTGCATTTAAGTTCACCACCCCTAACTAAAGAAGCAAACAGTTAACTGATGAAAATAACATCCTTTTTGTGTGCCCTAAGTGGAATTCTAGCTGGCCAATTATGGCAGCCAAATTATGTCACCAAACAATCAATATCACATCATCCCTAATTGTTTTTCTTCTTTTTGAAAACAATGCAAGTAGTCCTAACCCTCTTAGTCTATATGCCAAGTTTTGAACTTGCCTTTCTCAACTGATATTTCCCATGGTTCACCGAATAACCATTAGATGAATAGCTCATTGATCATCCCAAAGGTTAAGACCATGAATCCTGCTTTGACTTTGGCACTATCAAGAGTCATGTCTTTGATTCAACTGTAAAATCCATGTCTTCAACCATGATGCATTGCATTTTAATCTACATTTTTCGCATTTGAGTTCATTCAGATGACGGCCTATCTCAGAGCTTCTAGTTGTTGATGCCACTGTTTTCATTGAACATGTTTTGATCATATCAATCAAGACACCATTAATATAATCTCAACACGGGTCACTAAAGTTCTCCACACTTTAGATTGTCAATAATTAGATCATCCAAGGTGATTCTCCTCATCTCTCCTTAATTGAAACTTCTAGTGTTAACCATATCTAGCTGGCTCAGAAGCTGACCCAAAATCAAAGTGATCAAGCCAGAGCAAATGTGCATGCCAAAAGTATTTGGGATGAGCGCATCTCTAAATTCTACACCACATGAAGAGTGACAACTTTTTAAAGTAAGTTGACCTATTAGGGAAACAATTAACCCTAGTATAAAATTGTATCTCTTACTTTAATCAAAGAACATGAAGGATTAGGATAAGCAAAGAAGACAACAAGATCAGAGCTCTCCAATCAGTGATCAAAGTTTAAACCCTTAATTCAAAAGGATCCATTTATCAATACACTAGGGATTATATACCCCCTCTTGGCAGATCCTCGACCACAAGAGTCACTGATGATCACACTCTGAATCCCAAGCTAAGCATTGCAGACAGCCTTCAATTATTCACTATATGATTAAATAACCCTTTCCTCATGACGGATTTTTCTTTCTGTCTTTTTAATTATCCTTCTTGTACCTGTATATATCTTGAACTCTAGAGGCCTTTTCTAAATTTAATGCATCATTCTTCTCATTCACCATTAATTTCAAATTCCATGTTGACCAGATCAAACCCTCATGTTGGAAAGTGATGAAATCATCAGATCATTTCTGAAACAATATCAATCAGATAAACCATATCCCAAAGCAGTAATCAATCCATAATTTATTTCGCATAGTTAGGGGCTAACATGATACACAGACCCATCAGAGGCATAGGAAGTTGTGAAGATGTTTTCTTAGAGAGACAAAATTAATGTTGCAATATTTTCTTAGCAAAGATATAATGTGTGCCTAATACAAATTAAGTAGAAGACAACTCCAATGAATAAAAAGACGACAAAAATACAAAAATACCCTTAACCCAAAAATAAAATAACAATAATACGAAATGAAGAATACATCTTCACAACATTAGTATCTATAGAAATGGTATAAAAACAAGAAATTTTATACAAAAACTCCATCCATTCATGATGATGTGGCAATTGTATTTTTAAAATTATGAGCCATAATGGAGGTTGTTTTTAGGTTCGAAATGAAAGGGCTACCAGCAGCCACATCATTTTGTACATTAGTCATGTACAATCAACCACCGGAATAAAAATTAAAGCTTGAGTAAATAAAGAAAACCAATTAGTAAACATTGTATATTATTTAAAGCACATTATCCGAGCTGCTTCGGGTATACTAGAACACCATATAACTAGGGTCCCCATTTTTTAAAGCAGCATATTAAATATTCTTCAACAAAAGATCTCTCAAATATTCTCCACATAAATATTTAAATCAGTCATAGCATGCTTGTAGACTCCATGACATCTACTAAAGCGCGCCGGGGGGGGGGGGGGGGTCATTTACTATTCTGGGATTCATCAACAGTGAAGCATAATTTCTTCCATCAATAACGCCCTGTTTGGATGCAGAGAAAATTCTGGGACACGGAAGAAAGAAAACTAGGAATACCCAAAACAAGATTCCACGTATAGCATCTTTTCCAACAATTTCTTAGAGAATAATAGGAGCCCAAATGAATAAAATGTACAGACTCCATTGTTCTATAAAGAAAAACCAGTCAAGTCACAGCATTATCATCCATTTTCCCTGTCACCCACTACGAACCAAACACCAAACAAGAAAATAGCTTGAAAAAAAAAATGATTTTGGAGTGAAAAATAGAAACAAAAGAGACGCTTCTGTGAAGTTTCACAATGCCGTAATGCCTCAGGCTTCTATCGGGCAAATGGCATTCAAAAAACAGAGACTACTCTGCAACTTCAAAAACCCACAAACCCCACAAACCCACTTCACATTCAGAATGTTTTCAGATGCTATGCATAGATTCTAGTAATCTGCAAGTGTGAATATATATATATATATATAGAGAGAGAGAGAGAGAGAGAGAGAGGTGGGGGTTGAGGGGACACATACCCCATGGAGGATTAGAATCTATGCAGTATTCAAGGTCTTGGAGCTGTTCCATGGGAGGATGGGTTATGTCTGCCATTGTTGAAACTTCGCGAGCTTTCTTTCTTTCTTCTTTCACACAGAATCAAAATAAAGAGAAAGAGAAAGAGGCAGAGAATGATAAGAAGAGAAGAGGAATGAGCGAAAGAAGGGAAATACTATGCTACACACTCATCAGCATGTGTGTACAGTATATATTGTATAATTAAAAATATATATATAATTTTATATTTTTTTAGTTATAATTAAAAAATAATTATAATCAAATATTATATAAAAATTATGAGTTATAATTAAAAAAAAATTATAATTATAAAAAAAAATTGATTATAACTAAAAAAAATTATCATAACTTAAAAGATGTATAAATTATAATAACTTAAAAGGTGTATAACATAGGATGTGCATAGTAAAATTTCCCGCGAACAAAAGGACAAAGTAAAAGCACACTGGCACACACAGATAGGAAGTGAGAGAAAAGTTGAAAGAGAGAAGGCAAGGCTTTCATTTATATTCTTATTGCAAAATGTTAGGTTTTTGTAACTTAGGTCAAGTTTTCCGTCAATTAAATAATATAAAAAGTCAAAAAGTCACTATCCTATTTAAGTCGCATCATCTTATTTAAATCATATTATCTCTCTAATACATCACATCAAACCCAATCCAAACCCAACTCATATAAACCAATAAGTCAAAAAAGTGCACTTTTTTAGAACATCCCAAACCAACCCTTAAATGATTTAAATATGCCTAAATCACGTTATTTTACATTTAAAATGATATCATTTTTGGTATTTTAAACCATTTAAATTATGATTTTTCAGATCATTTATCATTATTGATTTTTATATATCTGGATTCATATTATTCGTCTCACATTTCAATTCCCCAATAAATTTACATTTAAATAATTTAAATTTATTGAACTTTCGTTTGGCATTCTAATCATAGACTAAAATAATTATAAAATGATAAAATCAATTAAAAAGTTAATAAAATAAAAATATTATATTTAAATCATAATCATTTTATTTTTTCTTTTATAAAAGTCAAAAATTTTAAAAATTTTATTTCAAATGAGATTTTTTAGCTCAAATTAAAATAGTCAAAAAATTAACTCGTATCTCAAAAGGCACCTTAAAAAATTAATTAGCTCTTTCAGCAATACACAGATTATAAAATTAGACGTAATTTTTTTATATAAATGTGAAAAGAGTTTATAAAAAGTGGGACTTATCCATAGGGCTGAGCAAGGAATCCGTGAAATTCGTAATCCGATCTAGTCCAGTCCAATCTAATAGGTTTGGATTAGTTTTTTGAATCCGTGGTTCGGTTCCGGATTGAAAAATTAAAAATCCGTAGTTCACGGATTGGTTCCGGATTGAATCCCACGGTTCTGGATTGGAACCGATCCGGACCGTATACAAATAGTCTATATTTTTATTACCCTCCTGCATAGTATCTTCTCTTATTTCATATAAAACTTAAATCCAAACCTAAATTGCATAATATCTTCTTTTATTAATTTTGTTTGCTAGTTTTTAGTGTTAATTTGTAATAGTCTAAATACTTATGGTGGAACTAGTTTCTTTATGGTTGTTTAAATTTTAGAACAGTTTGTTGCTATTATGAAAATACATGTTGCTATTGTGAAACTAATATTGTGCTATATTTATATTTTTATGAAAATAAAGTGTTATATATATTTTTTTGTTATTTAATTATATAAATCCGTGGTCCTAAACCGATCCAATCCGTATTTAAATGGATTGGTTCGGATTGGTTCCACAATTTAAACGGATTGAATTGGTTCGAATTTTTCAAGATCCGTAAATAACGGATTGGTCCTGGTTTTACTCCAATCCGGTCCAATCCGGACCATGCTCACCCCTACTTATCCATGGTTCCATTGTTATGTTGGGAAATATTATGATACACATTTTTAAAAGGTATGTATCATATATATCCTATAATTAAAAAAAATATATATCATAATTTTATATTTTGTAAGTCATAATTAAAAAAAATTGTCATAACTAAATATAATATGAGGTATAACTAAAGATTTCATGAGTCACAACTAAATAAAAAAATTAGTCATAATTAAAAAAATGGCATGGCTTCTGTCCAGTCCTTAATCGGACTGAACCGTGTTGTTGGGCTCGTGGGGGCCCACCACGGGTCCCGTTTTGATAATTTGAACCGTTCAATATGTAGAACTCGTCGAGTACTATATGCCTGCAAAAAATTACGTTAATCGGATATCGATAACTATGTGATCAAATCAGTTTGGTATAAAAAAAATAGACGGTGAATAAATTAACGGTTGACAAAAATCTGTTTTGATCACATAGCTATCGATATCCGATCAACATGATTTTTAACAGGCATATAGTACTCGACGAGTTCTACACATTCAACGGTTCAGATTATCAAAATGTGACCTGTGGTGGGCCTCCATGGGCCCAACAGCACGGACTGGATAGAAACCATTCCCTTAAAAAAAATAACAAATTTGGGAATATGGTTTGTGACTAAAATAGCCACAAAAGACAAAATAGGCTATTTTAGCCACAACAAACAAAACATCACATTCAACCCATAATCATTATACTCTTCTGTCACAAAAAAAGTTAAATAAGTCAAAAAGTCAAAAAACTTTTCCCAAACCAAGCTTTTTAGCTCAGGCTAAAATAGCTAAAAAAGTCAAAAAGTCAAAAAACAACTCACTTCCCAAACCAACCCACTATTTTTCAAGGGGTGTATATTAGAATTTCCCTTTAGGTTTTATTTCATATATTTGAAAAAATTATAAAATTAATCAGCTTGTTTGGTTCCAATTTTTAGAAAACAGTTTTCAGAAAATTCTACTTTTTTATTTTTTGTATTTTAATGTTTTCAATGATTTTTTTTAATATTTTAAGCATTGTTTTTACTTTTTAAGCACACCTAACATAAATATACTTAAAAAGTATAATGTTTATAAAAAAAAAAACTTTAAAAAATACACTAAATACCAAAAAATATAAAAAAATACAAAAATTCAGTACATTTTCATATTTTTGTGTATTTATTAATTTTTTAAAATATTTTTTTACAAATATTTTACTATTTTAGATACATCTAAATAAGTTGCATCTAAAAAGTAAAAAAATTAATTAAAATTTTAAAAATATTTACTAAAAACAAAAAAATACGAAAAATAAAAAACTCAATTTTCAGAAAACTGAAACCAAGCACACTGAATAATATCTAAAATAAGGAGGAGGATTCCTCCAGTCTAGAGTGTTTAGGTATGTGGATTCCATTACGGGTTTCGTTTCGATAATCTGAATTATTTATTTTATCGGATACTTTATATACTTTATTCAAAAAATAATTAAGTTGATTTAATAAATATAACTTGTTCAATTTATTACTTTAGTCATAGAAAAAAGTATAATTTTTTTTAAAAAAATACAAATTGTCGTTCATTTTTTTAGTAAAAAAATATTAAAATTGAACAAATTACAGTTATCGAATTGACTTAAGTTTTTTTAAAATAAATTATATAAAATATTTAATAAAATAAATAATTTAAATTATCAAAACAAAACTCATAATAACCCAGTCCCAAATAATCCCTCCCATCTAAATATTTGACCGGAGGGAATCTCCTCCCTAAAATAAATAGTGTGAATTGAAATATATAGAAATTGCAATAAGCAAATGTGGAAAGTGAATTCCCCTTTTTGGCTTTATTTTCTATTCAATAGTTTAGCACCTGCCATACGGCATGGACCCGCCCGATGAGCAAAAATTTGGATTGATTTTTGATAATCTAAATAAATATATTTTTTAATTTTTTATGAAATAGAAATTGAGTTTGAAATGATGTGATAAAGAAGTGATATAATTTAAATAGGATAGTGACTTTTTTTACTTTTTTTATTATGACAAACAAGGAATATAACAATAACATCTCCTTTGGCAATTATATATTTTGATTAAAAAATTAAAATATTAGTATAAATTATTATATCACTTTTTTTTGTATATATTTTTATAAAAAATCAACAAATTATTAAAATAATTTATTCCCAAACTATGGCTAAAATTGATAATGCACAATCACCCACATATAAGACCATCTCCAATAACTACTCGAATCTATCGTCAAATTTGAATTCAACTCCGCTACGTAGCTCGAACGGGGGAGAGCTCAAATCCTCCAAAATCCCAAAATGACGTCATTTTGGAATTTGCTTTATATTTTTTCTTTTTCTTTTTTCCTTCTCTTTTGTTTGAAGAAGAAGAAGAGTCTAATCACCCACAAATCAGAGCCAACAAAAAAAAAAGGGCAAACTCAATCAACAACAACAAAATAAAACCCAAAATCTGATCACCCACAGAATTGAACACAAAATCAAAATCAAACCCACCTATCCAAAAATCAAACCCAATCAACAACAACAACAACAGATCTGATCACCCACAAATCAGAATCAGAACAAAAAAAAAAAAAGAGCAACAACAACAGATCTGATCACCCACAGATCTGGATCATCAACAACAACAACAACAACTTCATCAACATCACCATCATCAACACATCATCTTCATCTTCAGAGCCAGAAAACCACCGTCGCACCCTCCATCACCGTCGCCCCGCCCAGCCATCATCGTCGCACCACCCCGCCATCACCGTCGCCTCTCTCTCTTTCTGTTTCCCCGTCTGTCTTCCCTTATCCTCTCTCTTTCTCCCTCTCTCTCTCTCTCTTTCTTTCCCTCCCCCTGTTCAGATATAAACGAGGAAGAAAAAGAAAAAAAATTAAAAAAATAATTTTCCAAAACGATATCGTTTCGACAATTCGAGCCATTCAGGGAAAAAAATTTGGAGCTATAAAACATTTCTCATTCGAATTTAGTGAAAAATGAATCATTTTCATCAAATTCAATATTTTACTTTTCTTTCATTAAACTGAAAATCAATGTGTATTTCATTAAATCACTGTTCAAAACTGTTTGATTTTTACCACCGAATGTGCCCCGAATGATCACCTCAAGTTAAAAATTTATAAAAAAATTACACTGATCGATCGACCCCTTAGATGACCACCTCAAGGTAAAAATTTATGAAAAATCTACACTGGCCAGT